ACTCCCACTCACTCACAGAAACACATACCTGGGTGGCTGAATCTAGCAGTCCTTGCCAGCTCTGCTCCTGTGAGTGCAGCTGCCATTGAAAAAAAAAAAAAAAAAAAGCACTAAGTGTATCACATGCTGGGCAGTATAGCAGGTGATACTGTAGCCTGTAGGTACACCCAGCCCTGTCAGGGTTCAGTTGCCTGACAAAGAAGAGCAGGTAAACTGAACTGTACACAAACAGTGATAAAAGTAGGGTAACACCCACATGCTGAGCCTGAGCAGTTGAGCTTACACTGATGGAAAACAGGATTTGAATAGCTAAAACACAATACATCACCCAGAGATGAAAATATAACTATAAATAAATATACATTTCTGAGCCATGAGAGGACTGGTAGAGAGGAGAAATGATATCTAACCTTGTCCTGTCCTGAACTATTTGCTTTTATCTCCCATTTTTTAAAATAACTCAGATGTTGTTAGCAGTGGAAATCATGCCTTTTTGTACATGAACCCAAAAACAACTGGAAATCTCCTTCCTGGCTTAGGAGTGAGACACATGTATGTACTAACACCACTTCACGCAGGCTTTCACATACTGTGAAATGTGACCCCATCATTCCTCTGCTTCCAAGTGTCTGTGTTTCATTTTGCACCCTCACTGAAAGTCATGGCAAAAAACTATGCAGAAAAAAAAAGTATTTAAAAAAAAACATAGGAAGATCAGTTTTTAAGAGATAAATATAAAACCAGTACTACATTTTGAAATCACAGTTAATCAAATGCTGTACATGAAAGAGCGAAGACCAGATTCTGTTAAGATTTTTAGCACTATTAAAATTCTGGAAAAAAAAAATAAAATGGCTATTACTCCATTTGTGAGTGCCACTGAAGAATCTGCCATTTCTCCTGCAATAGAACGGCATGAAATAATACAACTTTGAATTCCAGGAGCTTGTTTCTTAGTGCAGATTCTCATTTCACAACTAAGATTAGCTGAACTCTTCACCTGCTCCCCAGAGGGCGAGGGTGCCCTGCAAGCAGACAGATGGCTCCTAAGGAAGGTCAGCAGAAATGTTCATGCATACATATTTTTGCACAAACTGCTTACGAGCCGCTTTTCCCCTTTTTTTTGATAGCAGTTGTACCATGTTTTCCAATCTTTGCTAGTTTCAACGTGGCTGAGTTAATTTCACACAAAAAAGTGTGGGAGCAGTGGTCTCAGTTCCCCTGGATAAACGCTGGGCTACGTGCTGCTTGTGTTTGACACTGGGAAGTCCGGCCAGGCAAGGCATAAATCTTTTGTCAATGAAAGGGGTACATTATCAGCTTCTCAGCTGTTTCTTTTCTAAACAGTTACCTTAGGTTTAAGATAAATATTCAACATGATTATTTTGTAAATAAATATATAAATAAAAAAATAACCAGAGACCAGAATTACTTTCTCCCCTACAACCATCTCTCTGATTGCAAGGGGATCTCAACCTTGTGCAGATGCGTATGGTAACCTGATATGGTTACCTGTGCCTGGTTGGCCTTGCACTATCCCCTCCCCAAAACATTCCCAGCGCTCATGCCCAGCTTTCTGCAAAGTCTCACAGATCTTTAACACCAGAGAAATTCCTCACACGGCCTCCAAACACGTCAGTTTCTCCCCTTGTGATCTGCTGTCCTGCAATCTCCTTCTACTGCTACAGAAGAGGAAGCTATGTTAGTCTGCTTGGACTAAACAACAGTAAATAAAACATAAAAATAATTAAGTTGAATGTGATACCCTTTTCTCACGTTGATTAATTGACAATCACTTACGGAATGACTTTATTAATAAAGTGGCAGAAGAGGATGCATCACCTGGTCACGTATAAAGGCAAAACCTTCAGTACAATAAGAGCCTAAAAGTATCATAAAGGTGTTTGCGACCAGTGTGAGGAACTGGAGGCTACTGCTGGAAGCTGCTTTGGTACGTGATGGGTTCAGATATGTTGAAACAGAACTTAAAGTCAGAAAACTATAGCTCAGAAGAAATCCCTTTGAGTGAGGAGAAACAGAAAACTAACTAAAACCATGATGTTTGTAGGAGCTGTAGATAAGATTATATATATTACATTTAGAGAGGTCCTCAGAGGAAAATAAAAAGATCTCACTGTAAAAACATCAGCTACAATAACAAAGTGAAAAGGCTTCCAAGTGCATAGATATGCAATTTTGGAAAACCAAACTATACCTCCATGATTTGTTGTATTTTTGTTGCAGGATGGGTTTTAACCCATGTGTACAGTTTTAGGATTAATAAACATCATCCAAGACAAGTATAAAACAAGCAGCACCTCATTCAGCACATTCATTGGGATTTCCAGTGTATTTCTTCCATTTTCTGCTGGGATCATGGTTAGAGCAATGATTAGAAAACAATATGGCAGGAAACTCTTGATGCTAAACATTTGAGTTATGTATCACAGACTGTCTCAAGTTCTCTGACTTTTTACATTTAAATCTTTTCAAAAAGTTTTCCTGAAGTTTTTGGCACATTTTCTGCAAGATTTATATGAGAAAGACAGAAAAGTCATGGAGGACTCACACTCTCTGTTATTGTTTAAATGCTGACACTTAAGGTTTAAATTTGCAAAGAATGAATCATTCAACATCAAAACTAAGGTGTTGCATGTTTATTTACAGACCAAGCTCCAGTAGTAATGTGTACTCGTCATGCGAACTGATTTGAATTTAATTCTAAACCCTGTTTTGCACCAGGAAAACATGAGTTTCATTTTACTCGTCTCTGTTTTCAATTATAATTTGACAAAAGAAATAACTGCGTTACCTATGTGATTTGCCAGAACTTTATCCCAGCACCACCTGTTGAGCCCTCGGCACTCGAATCCTGACATATAGCAGAGAACAAAATTATGCAGTTGGCACACTGACTAGTAAGGATGCCAACAAAAGCATAATATATCCTTTGTACTCAAAGTACAACAAAATATATATTAAGCTACCAACTGCAGAAGTTTAAGAAAACCACATGTAATTATACAGGAACGTATCTTTCCAACAAATAACTCAGTAGAAAAACGGTATGAAAGTTAGAAAGGACCCTTTTTGTATGATATGCACTGGTAAGTACTGCAAGCTTAAAATAAAAGAAGTTTCACAATACCTTAGTAGATTTACATTAGAGATGGCAAGGGGATAGCCAGCTAGTTTATACAAATAGATGTGTTCAACGCTATCAACTTCTCAGTTTAAATGAAATGTCCCATGTTTGATTCTGGTGGGGTAGCTGACTTTTAGCACAGCAGAAAGACTCACAGCACTCATCCCAATCAAATCCCTTCTATTGCCATTGACTGGGACTAAAGTAGTAAGAATCAGCTGTGTTTCCAAAGTTTACTTCTTTAAAGCACCTCTTTGCCACAAAAGTCCTCACAATTGCTTTCCTAGCACTGGAGCATTTCTGACCCAAGGTCTGCAGAAAAGAGGAGGCAGAACTTAGGGGCAGATAGGACGGGTCAGTGGGGATGAGGCAAAGCTGCCCTTCCAGGTCTGCAGAAGTCTCTAAAGTCCCCTCTTGTCATGGGGCAAACAGACACACAGCCCCTGCAGGAATGGGCTCTTAACCAGGACATGAGATGATGGTCCACAACTCCCTTCAAACAGATCTAAGGACGTGGACAGGGTAAGGCAGAAAGAGCTAGTAAATCCACGGGGAAGGGAAAAGCAGTTTGGGAAGTATAAAAGGTTAAGTGCCAGTTTTCCAGTGTTGTAACAACACTGCTGATGAATCTGTACAGGGTCGAGCACAGAAGTTCTGAAGTCAGCTTAAGCATCTGTCGATATTACAGCATGAAGCATACAGGAAAGACCACTAAAATTCTGTACAAGGACCCAAAATGCATTAAGTTAAATGAAGTATCTGTAAAATCTTTGATAGTGAAGCATAGCTTTGAAATAGTTTGGAAGGAAAAAAATAAACCTGAACTATCTGGTTTTGTAAACAAGCAAACAAACCAGCTGTGAATCACAGAGTAACAAAAGGATTTTACTTACTGCGATAACTTTTGCACTCTTAAGGTTTGTATCATCACAGAACTTGCTGAGGATGCTGTCCATCCATTCATCCAGTTTACTGATGAAGATGTTCAACAAGTACTGATCCCGGGGGAACACCAACTAGACTCTGCTGCTGATCATAACCCTCTGTGCTGTGCCATCAGCCAGTTCTCACCCACCTTACTGTCCACTCATTTGTCCCACAACTCCTAACCTTATATAGGAGGATGTTATGGGAGATTGTGTCAAAAGCCTCGCAGAAGGTAGATAACACCACTGCTCCCCTCTCATCTATCCAGCAGGTCACAACATCACCCAATATTTACTAGATTAACTTTTGTACTCTAAGCTAGTTAGATGATTATTATCACTGTAGATTCATACAAGCTTAAATGTAGCTCCTATCACCAGACACAATGTTCTCTGGTATGATTTTTGAACAGTACATACACAACCAAGAAAGTTCAGTGAATGAACTCTCAAAGTGGAGCATTTCAAATTGTATCCAGAAAAATTGAGAATATTTTTGCATATGAATTAGTTTCTAACCAGTACATTGCAGTAACCAGCATTCAGCAGAGGCCCCACATTTGAGGGTTCAAGTTGACTGACTGCAGCCTTGAGCAATCTGACATAGTGAGACCTGCTGTGAGCAGGGCATGGATTGAGGTGACAGCGAGAGCTCCTGTCCAGCTGAATTATTCTGTGTTTCTAAAACTGACCCAAAGAAATTAGAAGTATTTTCCTTGAAGATGCTATTAAATTAAAATTTATGAAATTCAACTTCATTTCTTATTCATATAAAGGCTGGAATTTTGTATTTGCTATTTATAATTGTTCATAGATAATATTTTCATAATTATATGCAAAAGCATTTATTATTATTCATTTACCTTTTGTTTAAGGTTTGAATAAAATTGAAAAACTAAATTCAGTAATCCATAAGTGGTCATACTAAAGCATACTGGGTGCCTGTGGTATAAACCCCATTATCCAAGGAGAGATTTTTAGCTAAAACTCTAAAATGGTGGTTGGAAACATGCACCAATATCTTTAATTCTTCTGTGCTGGAAATGTAAAACGACAATTGCTAATGAGAAAAACTTTCCTGCAAAGTTATAATAGCAACTGTAAGAACACTTGCTAAGAGATAGACCACATTTAAGACAGCCAAATCTAGTTGATCTCACCTTCTCAATTCCAAATATCCTTTGTGGTATCTACATTTCATTTAGAAAAATAAGTCTAAAGGAAGTACACACATGGCAGGTAGTTTGGCATCAGCCACTTCTACATTTCTCAGATGTCTAGCAGCCAAGAAAATGTTCCAGAATTTAATTCTTTTCAGATAGCTGAGCTCATGTAAACTTTACTCTTGATGAAGACTACAGATGAAATATCTGGATAGTGTTCCAAATAAGGCATTAAATGTCTCCTACAATAGAATCCATCATGTTCTCCTGATTTCTCCCTTGTTCAAAGTAATTACAAATTCTGAAATCACACAGTGGAACTTTGATGATGTTTTCCATATACTAGGAAGAAAACTCATTCCAGAAAAGCCTAAGTTAGTTTTCTGCCTACCATGGTATCTCCATCATACCCATTCCTTGGCTGCATTTCAAGTAGCCTCACAAAGACACTGAAAAGATAATGAAAATTACTGAACTGTTTCTTGTCTGCCAGAGGTGCAAGGAAGCTGCAGGCACACAGATCAGCAGCCTGAGGGCTCTACCAGTGGCTTTTTCACCCTCTGCTGAGCTCGAGGAAAGATAAGGAACCCACCTGGACTCTTTGAGGTTAGTTTTTCAGGTTTAAATCAAAATTTTTGCATGTAAAACGGCCACAAGAGGTAGATTACAGAGAGCTCTGCAAAAGGCAGAACTGTTTGAGACAATTTTAGACGTCCACTCTGAGTAACCCAAATGCCTCAGACATATAGAGCCTTATTGTCATCCAGCATTACTGCTGTTAGTCCCTTGCATTATCATGGAAGATGGAACTCACTGTTGAACTTATTTCCATTAAAATTATTTTGAAGAATTAATTCTGAAGAATTCTGGAACTAAGCATCCATGGTTCTTACCTCAGCTTAGTCTGAAGCACTGCTCCAATTGGCTGCCTCTGTTTCACATCAAGTTTCTCATATTGAATATTCTCATAGCACACAGGTATGAGATACACCAGTATCCTCTAGTTGAAACCAGTGACACGAGGGATCCTTGCACTTTAAGCCTGAGTTTACCTGTCATTGAAGGGGACGGAAGTCAGTTGACTTAAAATGGCTGATCTATAATCTGCGCCTGCTGAAAGGATAAGTAAATCCAAAGGGAGAGTTTCATAAATTCCCAGAAAGATCTCGGCATCATAATAATAGATCTGACAGCACTCTAAAGTTTGGCCTGTCTTGACAAAGAGAAATCACAACCAGCTTTGGTGTAGTTCCCCAGCAGGAGATAGTTCTCAAAGTGCTGTCAAGCAGCCCGTGCTCATCTCCTCATCTCGTGGCAACTTGTCATCAACCCCTCTGCCAGCTTCCACCAAGAGTGAGGTCAAATAATAGATGTGGGAGAGAAGGGAGCAAGGTGTGCTTTCATACTTCGCCATTTACTTCTCTGCATCTCCTTTTTACATCATCATTCATGGAGATACTTCCACAGAAGTGGTCTCAGGGCAGGACACAGACCAGCATTTTTATAGAAAATCCCAGAATTTGAATAGGATTCTACTAAAAACTGCCGTATGATCTTAATGTACTTAGGAATTAATCTTGGTGTACTTTTTTTTGAACCACCTATTAAAGCTCTACATCAAGAATAATATTCACTACTGCCTTCTACAGAGATTTTGCTGGAGCTTGTCCTGTTCTGCTTCCTGCCCATCATAATCACATCATCTCTCCTGCAACCAGAGCCTTTCTCAGTTCTGGAAACTGGCTGAGAATGACCCAGTAATGTGCACCCAAAAGAAAGTGATTTCCTGCACTTGAAATAAGTGTTGCATTCAGAAGAATTTAATTTCACTGTCATCCTCGGAGCTGGCAGGAGGAGTCACCAGTTTCTGACCAAAGCTGCCAGCGAGGCACACGCTGTGCTAAGGGGAGCTAGCAGGGGTGATGATTTCATCTGGCAGCACCCAACGCTGGCTGTTTGTGTTGGCCCTTGCCCATTTCAGCAGCAATACAGACTAGGAAATTTCAGGAACGGTCATGAAATTATTACCTTAGATTGTCTTCAAGGAGTTGTCCTGATTTATGATTGTCTTAAAGCACATAAACACATTTTAGCACATTTCACCCATTTCATGGGATACCCAACACACAAGGGAGTTTTCCCCTTCCTTCTTAGGGCTGTAAAAACAAAACCGGGATGCTTCTTGCCAAACTTGCTCAAAGTTTGCACGGATTTGCTTGGACAGATGTGGTGGGAAACTACATCCAGTCTTTTGAGTACTGGCCAACGCAGCTCCTTACATCTCAGTAGTGCTCCCGTCAGCTTCGAACGCAGATCTCTAGCAAAAGTTTGCTTTTGTTCGGATTTCATGTTTAAAAAACAGGCCGTATGAAACTGGTTGTCATTTTGGATCTGTAAAACACAGCAACCCCGGGCTGCGAAGGGATTCCCGCCTCCCGCCCGCACAGCACGAGCCGCCCGGCAGCGCAGCTCCCCCCGCTTTCGCCGCCCTGCTGGCCCTCCGCGCGCCCAGCAGAGGGCGCTGCCGCCCGCCCCTGGTTGCGTGGTGCACGAGGCGGGGCGGACGGCGCGATTCATGCGGCAGGAGAAAAACCTGTAACCCCCCCCATCGTCCCCCCTCCGGTCTCCCGTCCCTGCTGTCGGGACGCGGTGGCACACCTACGTTGTTTTTCTGCTCCGGGACCCCTCAGCACCAGCCAGACCAAGCGGTTGGGTTCTCCTTTCCACGCACACAACAAAATGGAATCTGGCGGCCGATGGCTGCTCTCCTCTGGATGGCGGTAACGGCTGCTTGCACGCCTCTGACCCGCGGCTGCCATCCCGCAGCGAGGGGTTTCCTCCCCTTTGTCGGAGCGCTGTCCAAAATAAACGTTTCACTTCATCCGTTCCGTGTTGGATTTTTAAACCTCAACTTGAAAGCTGAGAACGCTTTCACATAAGGGCCCGTTTAATGTAGAAATCACGTTGCGTGAGCACTGCGTATGGAAACAGACCAGGAGTGGGAGGGAAGGAGTCGGTGCTGGATGATGCTACTATCCCTGTCTGATTGTGCAAAGCACGCTGCTGTAGAAGTCCAGTCCCTTGGCACTGGGCAGCAAAGCAGCACGAAGGTACATGAGTGCCCTGCCTGACGGTCTGCCAGGACATCAGGTGTTCTCCTATAGCAAATACATACACTCAGGGTAATTTCCAAACGCCCACGGAGCAGCCGTGTTTGTCAGCTTAAACAGGAGAGACCTGAGGGAAGTTAAGCCCTGCTCCCAGCATCTGACCAAAGCTGTGCTCGGACGCAGGGCTGGGCCCTGGGTGCTGCCCTTCTCTGCTGCTGGAAGCGTGCGGCTCAGAGAGGGGCCTGCGCTCACACAGCTGAGCCCAGCCACGAGGCAGCAGACCCCACGTGAGCATTCAGCTCTGGGTCCATCTGCAGAGGTGCCTGCGGGCATTTTGTGAGAGCTGGGTGCTTTTATGCCCCAAGCAGGACATTACATCTCCTCATAATACCTTATCTGTTTTCTAATGGAGAAAAAGCTTAGCTCCCAGGAATGAGAACAACATTTCTGACTACATCTGTTTCAATGGGGGAAAAAAAAAAAAAAAAAGAAAAAAAAAATTCTAAGTTTATGTTAATTTTTCTAGAACCAAGGTGCTATTTTGCTATTTACATTTTTACTCCAAAGTGTCAGTGCTCAGAAAAGCCATTTATGATATAGTTCTGTATCAACTCCTATTGTCCTGATCTTCAACAACATGATAAGGTTTTGTCCATTTAGCTCTTTTTCACTCATCTCAATGAGGGAAGCAGAACAAGCCAGTCCCCCGAGGCTCCTACCTGAGAACAGGAAGTCTGCTGTGGTAGCAGAAACATCACCTCAGCCCTGGAAGCAATGTGCTTCAGCAAGGCACAGTGTCCCCTGTGATTATTTAACATACATGGGCGCCAGTTTGCTGCTGGAGAAGTGCAGCACCTCTGGCTGCCATGAATCCAGCTCTGCAGCGTGGAAGGCAGCAGTGGCATAGCAGCCTCCTGCATTACAGCCCAGGTTATTTGCTCTGGGAACATAACAGAGGTGCCCGAGAGGCTTTAAAACCTGAAGATATCACCGGGAAATAAACTGCCAATAACTCCTAGCTATTGCCTTAGCTTTTTTGTTTGTTTGTTTGAATACCAGAAAACATGAAAAACAATAATGCAACTAAGAAGGTGATATCACAGCTTGCCACAAAGCTCAGCTTTCAGCCTTTAAGGAGATGAAAAAAGGTAACTAAATCATTTCTTACAGCGGTTTTACTGCAGGTCCATACCTTCGAGATTCCTTGATCTGCTGCAAAATTTTCTCTGAAGACTTTATTATGAAGTTCTGGTCCTGGCACCAGTTTGTCAGCAGATGACAAAGCACTGTGAGGCGCCTTCCCAAAAGGTTCCTCCATGGCTCGTTTGTGAAGAGCTGTTACTATTCCTGCTGACTTCTGAGCTCAGAAAAGGCAAAGAAAGAGAAAAAGAAGAGAAAATACATCAGTGGTGGCATTTTCTTTCTTTCCCTATCAAACACAGCCCCCCCTCCCACCTCCATGCATTAGTTTGCTTTTTTCCACTGTGGTATCAGATTAAAAAAAAATGAAACACATGCCAAATATTAAATAGCTTAAATGGTCACCTGTGGATTTACTTTTACTGGATAATTTTTTAGGCATAAGCTTTGTCCGGTCAATAGGAAGGAGGCTTCTGCCATATAAAAGAATGACTGGGCTACCACATTCCTCAGCTCACTCAACCTGCTGTGTGCATAATCAAACAGCACTCTGTACAGTCTCATTTTTAATAAGGTGTGGCTCATAAGCCTCCCCTTTCCCTTGGCTCCAGGCAATGTCTGTACCTGTTTCCTAGAGGACTGTATGGCCACATGGTATAATACAAGCATGTCCAACATGTGGCCCAGCCCCTGCCCTCTCAAGTACTGTTATTGTGCTCTTTGTATCAATTGCAGTTTCCATGGAAATAAATGAGAGGCATTACTTTGGGAGTCACCTTTGTGTAAACTGCCCAGGCCTGCTCACTGAGTGCCACCCGGGCAAGCGAAAAGGTTGGACACCCATGATGTGATAGAAATAAAGAGAAAACATGCAGCAACTTTTAAGATTGTATTAATTTCTTGGTACACAGAAACAGAGGCCTTTGGGAAACAAAATGCTTTCCTGTCTGCTGCAGGGTGCTGCCGTGACAGCCAAGATTAGGAGGAAAGAAGACAGCAGAACAGCTCAGGCTGAGGTCCAAAAGCTGAGATGTTTCAGGTTCACTGTGAGGACAGAAGAGCACCGTGCACTTGAATTTCTCTCTGCTGGCACTATGACTGCGTTCAGCCAGTTAGCAGGTTGGGTTTTATGTGAGCTCAGTCTGAAAAGGGACTGCGAGAAGATTAAAAATCCGTGTGTGATAAACTTCTAAACTAAGTGAGATTACCTGGAAGATTGGTTTGTTTCTGGATTATTCTGAATCACTCTTTAAATTACAATTTATAAGATATGGTCATTTTGCATTATAGTTTAGAAGAATATATATTTGATTTTTACTGGCAGACCTTATGTCAGAAGTCACAGAACTGCCAATAATTTATCAGGAAAACCACTGACTCTTAAAATAAAGGAAAGCAGTCCTGTGTACCAGAGTGGAGATGTTTGGCACCCCTAGGAACTCAAATTTAACTGCAAGTCGGCAGTCTTGCAGCTCTCTGTGCAAGAAATGGGACATTTCTCTGAAATGCCTCCTGCTATTTCCCCAGTCTAATCAGCAAGAGCAGAGCCCGGAGCCTTACAACAAGGCCTCAGCTTTCTTGCTTTCTCATGCAAATGTGGTGGCGGTGGAGCCTTACAGCACAGCCCTCTTGTAGGAATGAGGGTGGGCTTTCCCCTTCAGCGCAGGGATAACACTGAGCTTTCTGCTATGTGCCGCATGCGTTCATGAACTTCTCTGCAATGTTATACAAAGGGACAATACAAGTGCAGTTCATCGCTGTTAGTACTACTTTCAGGTTTGTTCCACCTGAGCGCTGTCCCGTTGCCTTATCTGTACGTATAGCATCAACACGCTGAGCTTACCTGCAGGAAATCTAAGAAAATAAGTCCTTCTTTGTGGGATATAACTTGTTTTTAAAAGAGCTATTGTATAAAAAACCTCAACTCTATAGGGGGGTTTGTTGCAGTTTCCTGAGGCAGTCTTGTCACTGTTGATAATGCATTAATCACAATACATCAGCATGCTACAGAAAGAGATTTTCCAGGGTTAGTGATGCCCTTTGTGTAGCACTAAGCAAGAATGACTAAAGCATAAAAGGGCACACAGTGCAGTGAGGCGCTCAGAGTGAGGAGTGCAAGGGCAGAGAAGACACACAGAAAATGATCACCTTCTGCAAGCCACGAAGAAATTAGCAACAAAGGAAGTACTAAGGGGAAAGCAATCAGGCTTGTGAAGAGAACAGACATGCATCCAAAGATCACCTGTAAACAAGGCTGGCTGCTGGGAGAATCCCAGGGAATCCAGAAGAAAGGATCTGTTTTTCATGGAATGGATGCGGAGATCCGGTTATTCCATCACCCATGCACTCTCTCCTGCCAAAGCTGCTGGATCTGAAGAATATATTGCAGAACTATCTGAACAGTATCTTGCATCTTGAAACTCAGTTTTATACAATCAAGCCACAGCAGTTCAATGGTAAAGGGCTTATAAACAGAAAGAAAGGACAGTCAACATGAAGTATATATCCTGTTGGCAAGTTGTATTTAAACTGATTTGCAAACTGGTTTCTTTATAAGGCCTTCAAAAGCCCCTGCCCTTCAGGTGGGTGTCCACATGAGAGTGTTTTGGGTTGCACCCAGATGGTCAAGGTCAAGACACAGCCATTTGAAAGGCCAAAAATTGCCAAGCTGTACAGCTCTTGGCTAAGGGGAGTGCCACCTCTTTGCTTAAGTAACTATTTGATGGAAGGGTGTAGGAGCTGCCATAGCAATCTAATGTCATCTATCAACTGACTTTTAAGAGGTATCAGAGACCTGCATTCTACAAAACAGCTATAAAAAAAGACCAGCAATGCTAAATAACAGGGCAACAAGCTATTAGTATGATTAACACAGTCTTTTCTTAGATTTATTCCAAGATAAAAGCGTTTTTGGTCATTTCTGTTGGCAGTACAGAACAAAAAATGCCATTTTGCATGAGTTAAAGAAATAATTAGACCCTTTTGACTGATGGACATTGCTTGCTTTAAGCAAACGACATAAGATATACATAATAGGAATAAACAGAGTATTGTTTTAATCAAAAGTAAAAAAAAAAAGTCTTTGATTTTACATCCTTAAGTAGCATTAAGACAAACTGGTAGCTAATGAATGAAAATAATAAAACATGTGCCTCGTGTATGAATCCCTACTGAAACTTTGGATCAGTCATACTGCCTGTGAGAAGACAATTGCAGATGAATATTATGCCTAGAACTTGTCCCTGCTTTACTCCTGGTCTGGCCTATTTTCCTGTGTTCTTATCCTCGGAATCTAGATAACATAGTTCACTGAACACCTGAACAGTCTCCCAAGGAGTGCACATTTGTGCATGCATAACAAAGCAGCTCAAAGCCCGCTAACTTGCTCACATCGACAGAACAGACATAAAAAGGAAAGAAAAAAACAATTTACAACCTAGCGCTTCCTTTGCTCCATCTGTTTGTCACTGTGTGATGGGCCTGAATAGCAGGAGCTGGCAGGGCAAGGCTTTCAAGCTTTAAAACCTACCTCTAGACAGGTGCTTTCAACAGGTAAGTGAAATGAAGAGAGAATGGGGCTCTTTTCATATTGATAAATCAAGCCTAATTGTGAGGAATCCTGAAAGTGTGTGAACTTCTGATAAGAGATTTATCAAGCATGTACTACACCAGCTGGCTGCTACACCAGCTCTTTAAATGAGCTGATTTTCCTAGCAACAGTACCTAGACAATAAGGTCACATCTACTGAAGAAGCGCTTTGCTGTCAGTGGAGATGCTGTTGTAGGAATTTGGGTGTGAAGCCAGGCGTGCAGACTAGAAGGACAGCCAGGCCTCCAAGTTCCTACATACTCAGATGCTGGGGGAACTGAGGATCTTTTAAAAGTCTTCAGTTCTGTGCATCTGAGAGTTACTCTTCACGAGAAAGAAAATATATTTCATAAGGTAGTTGGGGAGACAACAGAAATAACTGTCAATAATTAAACACAAGCCTGTGAGAAGTGCCCATTCCAGATGCTCTTTTCTTAATACAGCATGGATTTGTAATTAAGTTTTAACAAGGTTTCCTCGGATCTAAAAGAACTTTGCATAAAAGCTTTTGTGGAAATGCAGAGAAAAGAGCTCCTGATCTAGAAAAGAGAAAACAGACGATGAATTTAGATTCTTTTGCTAGAATGTGACTGAGTTTGCAATTTCTTGGATTAAGCTGGGACAGACTTTGAAAGACTCCAAAGATCTGAGTGTATGAGACTTCAATCATTCAGTTTTTCATCACTAGCAATATTAAAATCCCCAGATAAGATTATTCTTTGTCTCATACTCATATAAATAAGGACTAATTCTACTTAGGAAATGCCAAAGTTTGATTTAGAGGGAATTATTCCTGACCGTTCAAAGTGGTAACAGAATATATCTCACAGTGAAAATAGAAGCCAAGCCATTATCTGCCCTGCCCAGAGAACAGTAACATACACTGCAATCTCTATCTGTGTGCCTCATCTGAAAGAAATCTGATGATTTTTCCTGAAGCTATTCTGGGATAATTGTATCTTTGTCCATTATAAATTCACATACATTTTTATAAGCAAAGCAAGGGTCCCACTGGCACCATTACAAATAATCTTATATGAGTTTTCCAAAGGTAAGTCTTGCTTAACTTCAACAGGGAGTTAACTAAACACTCTACAGAAATTTTATTTGTCCTCATAAGCAATAATAGATCCCTGTAAATGTAAAGCAAGTCATACACAATCAAATATGCTGGCATAGGAGTAGTCATGCTCCCACTCCTATAAAAAGTAAATAAATGGTGCCAATAAAGACATGTCAACATGTAAGAATAAACCTTTTGTTTTAGAGCATACATAACTAAAAAATATTTTATAAGCTTTAAAAAATTCATTAAGACTCAGGCCCTGGTTGTTGAAAAGCATTCTCAGTGACTGGATCTCTGGAAGTCTCTTTGGGGTGAATTCTGCATTTTCACATACAGAGACAGAGCAAGCTCAATTTACTTGAAACTGGCCCTACACTTACTAGTGTACTAGTAATCAAGATGTATCTTGATGATCACTGAAATAAATCTGTCTTTGTACGTCCTTTCCGTGCACCCTGTCCACTGTATCTACAGGCTATGTCCTGTGCTCTTTTCCCCATTTGGGGCTCACTCCAGGGCTCACTGCAGGGAACCTCTGCAAGTCTCCTGAACTACTGCATGCTGACTGGTTTGCACAGAGAATGTAAAGTTGATGTATTTGCAATCATCAGCCAAACAAACAAGTATTCTTTTTCCTAAAAATATTGAAATGTTTCACTGCAATAGAAAGCTGACATAAGAAATTCATATGGCAGCTGTTACAGTGGAAGTGTCTTAGGAATTAACATATGGGAACATCTCTGTAGCCCACCTCTCTCTCACACTGCAGTCAGCCACAACTGTTTCAAAGAGGAGGCACGCAGTAAACAGGATAAGGCTGAAAAAATGACCAACAGTATTTGGATCCACATACAAATTTTCCCAGGGAGTCCAGATTTCAGCACAACCTGTTTGTAACGCTAAGAAAAGTGCAGCCATACACAGAGGACATCTCCTAACTGAAATGCTTGTGCACAAAGATTTTCTACACTTAACAGCTGGGCAAACTTTGCAAGGTAATTAAAGGCATGTGGAGCCCTCCTTTGCAGCACAGTGAACTTTCATGTAGTACATCCCAGTCCTTACAAGTCACTGAAATGTCCCAAACTGAACTGGTGCTTACAGCCGGGCTTGCTTTAGGAGATAAGTATGTCACAAAAGCAGCCCTGCCCTTTCCTGGGGAGTTTTTCAAACTGGCAAAGCTGAGGTAATGTATGTGTGAGACAGACAAAGACAAGCATTGTCACTTGTTAGTGATGGCATGGGACAGAAGGGTGCTTCTGCACCTCAACTGTAACTAAAATAAATGGAAGTTTAAGCTGTCATTCTTACAGTTAGACTCTGTAACTAATAGATGGTTCTTCCAAGGTGCCCGTTTATACCAAGTCTCAATAGACAGTACCAGGATTTAATTCTGGAACTGATTCATAAATAATACAAAAGAACTGCATCAGTCAAGTCTGTAGCTTTTCTTTAGTATCAGAAGTGCATAAACCATGTAAGACCTAGATGGATTTGGCAAACCATCTGAAGGATGTTTATTAACAGAAAAAGGTGAGTGCTACCTATGTTTGACAGGTCCCTACCCTGTGAGTTAAGTAACAGTTTTGGAAAATAAAACAAAACTCATGAGTACTTCCTTCAGTCTTTGGCCATCTGCATCACTTTGGAATATTCACGTAAAATAGACATACTTGATTTTTTAACAGAAACATTTAATTCTCATTCACAGTTTGCTGTGAACAAAAACTTCAACACTTAAGAAATAAATGAAAGTGAGGAGCACATAAGATTCTTGCTACATCTGTTAGGGAACAGAAAAATATCTCAGAATTCCAGAAGCCTGGGGAGGGGAGTGGGGATACTGGAGGAAGGGGCTGTATCTCATAGGCTGTGGGGCGGAAGTGCTTATTCTAACAAAGCTCAGGGCACCTTGTAACATCATAGGAAGCGAAGTACAGACTATATTTTCCTAGTAAAAGATTTCAGAGAACTCCACTGAATATTTTCCTTCTGAAAGACTTTTTCATTTCCATTTTGAATAGTCAAGGAGAATGACCTAAGCTGAAATGTCTCTGTACCACTGAGTGTAACATGTCACTTAACCTGCAGTGCATTAACAGTATCTGGTATCCAGCTGACATGAGGCAACTCATATTTCTAAGACGACAGAACCCTGTGTTGTGAGATTCTGTATTACAAGACTTCAGGCTGTATAATAATGACAATACTCTCTTACCTAGATTCCGGAACTTCCTTCATGGTTTTAGAGGAAGTATTTCTGTCTCTGGTACTAATCCATGGTATGTTCACCCTTTGGAGCTGTGAAATTTCTTGTTACTCTATTTAGCAAAGACAGATCTTAGATATTTTAGTAAACAGGAATATGCAGTTGTTGCATTGATAAGAGATATGAGGATGTATTCATTTCGGTTTTGCAGGGTAGCTATATGTAATGGTCTCTGACACATGGAGCTGTGAAAGCAGTGACTGTTGGGCTCCGCAGCATTCTTTTTTTCCTAGGTATTCTTTGCACTGCTAACATGTGATAATGTATTGTTGTATGTTAATCCATCTTGTCAGCTCATCTGAAATAATCTAGCCCAACTGCTTTTGACCTTTATCGATTCACAAACCTCTAAATATTTTCCAGTGAGATTACAAACTCTCTGCACTCTGAATTTAAGCTAATTCGTAATAGCCTTGCTTTCCTTTGTTGCTTTTGAGGGATTTCTTGGAAATGGTCCCTTGCAGTGGTTGCAGGCCAGGGGTTGAAAACCGTTCATAATTTATGGCCAAACTCACATCTAGAGTAACTTGGCATAATTCCACTGATTTCAAAGGAAAAATCCCGCGATAGTATCTGTTAGAATAATGCCTAGTTTATTGAACATTAGCTGGGGAACTTCCCCTGGTTTTAGTCCTTCTCTGTAGCTTTCACTGTGAATAAGACTGAGCTCCATTTCAACGTAATTATATCTCCTTTGGGAAATATTCCTTCCTTACTACCCGGATCAGAACACGTTGAAAAGCCCAAGAGGAATCTTAACAAATTTCACGTGGGAAAACTTATCAATAAATTCTTCAAGTTTTATCTTATGCTTGTACTCAGGTATATCCTAGATGTTAATTTTTTCAGATGAATTCAGTCAGCTAGCGCTCTTTATCTCAGCGGTGGTGCAGTGTAAAGTATGTACAACTCCTATATGGGCCAGACGGTTTATAGTATGAATTTTAGTTGGATTTTGAAATCAAGTCATTCTGCAGTTAGGGTCTATCATTCAGGTCTATCATTGTCTCTGAACAGAGTTACACTGATTTACACCAGATGATTGTGTGCCCAATTAAATTAAGATGCTTGAGGTTCCCCATAAATACCAAAGATGTAATATTGCTGCTGCTTCTGAAAGTGAAGAGCTCAAATAGGAAGGTGGATATTAAGAAAAGTAATAATTAGATCTGAAATGTTAATAATTGGATATCTTTTCTGAAAATAGTTACAAGTATTTACATTTTAAAAGAAAATCTCCAAAAATTAGAGAAGAATGGAGAACTGTCTTTTATGCTGTTACTGCCCTGCTCACTTTGCAGCTCCATCAAACCACAACGAATAACTAAAAAAAACTATTATTATGCAAACCACTCTAGCACAAAAGGGTATTACATATCTGGTACAAAAGGGGATTTCTTTAAAAAGCACAGCACATTCAGTGTTTAGGGTTTGCCGTTGAAATTCATGGCCTTGCTTGCCAGTATTATCATGCAGCTGGTTATTATGCTGCTGCTTTACTCTGAGGGGAAAAAGATCACAATAAAGATATTAAAACGCGTTCATCTTAAACTGTTGTATTGTCTCATGTTGCAACATCCATTTTTAAAGATTTTGGTCACCTCCTCTCTAGCACAAAGGTCAAAATAAACACTAGCCATACAGACTTCGACTGCACACAGAAATGGTTGAAAGGCACATCTTTTGATTTAAAATTACCAGCGGGAAACAGTGGTAGGCATCATTTCAGTGCTGAAAACTGAGACATTTGATATGATTGACAAAATGCTTTTTCTCTTGTTTGGCAGCCATGAAACAGAAGTCCATCTTTCTGTAGAAGAAGCTTCTGACAATCTGCTATATTGGTGCTATAAGTAAAATAAGTGTTTAGCATTTTAATTATTTTTTTAATCTTTCCAGAAATTCGCTCCTATTTGAATAAAAGCAAAATCAGTTCACACAAAATATTCTTGGTAAGTAAAAGATTAAATGTAGTCTCTTAGAATGCATCCTCTTTATGATATGAGTATTCAAACATGAATTTGGATGAGTACATAACATGCCTTTACAGGGTTGGGTGCTTCCTGCTTCTTCTGCATGCAGCCTTTATCTGTGATTAGTTTAAAACACCTTACTGAGCATCAGTGCCTTTTCAGGTATTCTTTTTAAAGAATCACTATTGAGCCACACAGTACAAGTCAAACCATTTCAAAGGAACAGGCCAAACTTTTGTCATTTGCTTACATCATCTGTCTCTCTCTCTCTGTTAGATACACGACTCTCTGGGCATCTTCAGCCACATTTGCAAGTCCTTATTTCTGTTTTTGTGTTCTGTCTGTCCCGGAGTTGTCTGAGTGTTGCCATTAGAGGGCTGAGTGATAGGCACTCTGTGCTGAAGAACAAAGGAATGGCATAAAATGAACATTTTTGCTGGGGGGGAGGAGGGAAGCTGTGGAATTGTTCCTTGGCATGGATTAGTAGAGAAGGCAGGCTCAGACACTGAACACACTGTACCATCCAAACATTAAATGCAGACTAGCTCTGAGTGTACACTGAAGTTAGCAATAGGAAAGACAGCTTCAGCAAGCTGCATAGCAATGCATGTACAATTTGAACAAATGTTCATTTCCTTTACATCAAACTGAAAGAACAAGAGACGGTACAAAATATTGTCCAAATCTTGCTTGCTAAATATAGTTGTTATCTCTCCTGGTTGTTCATTTGATTACAAAAGAATGAATTCCTACTTTATTATTCCAAATTGTTAATAACTGTCAGACATCAGCTATGTTAGGAAAAGTAGTGGTGAAAAAAAACACTGATCTCGAAATACTAAGAGGTCTGGAGCACCTCTCTTATGAAGAAAGCTCTGAATAAAAACTGAAGTGACTGGGCTTGTTCAGCTTGGGGAAAAGAAGGCTCTGGGGAGACCTCATTGCAGCCTTCCAGTACTTGAGGGGAGCTTATAAAGAGGATGTAGCGAGAGTTTCTACATGATCTGATAGTGATAGGAAGAGGAGAAATGGTTTTAAACTAAAAAAGGAGAGGAGAGATTTAGACTGGATCTTAGGAGAACATTTTTTTTTACTCAGAGGCTGGTGAGGCACTGGTACAGCCACCAAAGGCTGTGGCTGTCCCATACCGGAGGTGCCCAAGGCCAGGTTGGGAGGGGACCCTGGCAGTCTGAGTTGGGGGTGGCAACCAGTCCATGGTAGGGGGGTTGGAACTGGATGATCTTTAAGGTCCCTTCCAACTCGAGCCAATCTATGATTCTACGATCAGGGTTGAGACAAATATTAGCATTTTTGTATAACTTTGTTTCTTATTTTTATCCATATCAACAATTAAAATTTAGTACATGTGATACAGCATTCTGCTTTTCTTTCTTCTAACCTTTTCCTTCTGTGCAAATTATTAAAAAATAATGTTTCAAGCTTGTGTGTTGAACGTAGATAAAAAATAGATATGCACCTTTTCTGGTCATCAGTGTATATGGTACTTATGCCCTTTATGCCACTGCAGCCTGATTAATAAAACTTCCTGCTTTCAGAAACTTAAGGTAGCAATGCTATGTGATCAGTAGTACAGTTATGTAGGTAAAGTAATATTTCCAGCAACAGGACAGCATGGCATAGCTCTTTTAAAAGAGGCAGGTCTTATTATCTTCATTTTGGAGATGGAAAGAATTATTCACAGAAGCTTGAAGTTGTTCAAGGTATAGAGCAGATACTTGCTCTTCCAGATCTCTTCTACCTCCATATGCAAAGTTTGCACAGTTCCAATAACCATGATGACTGACCAATGCATATAGTGTGAGCTTGTGAACTTGTGACATTGGCAGTGCTGTGCAGAGCCTCCTACTGGAGTAGCTGGATAGTGCTAATGAGCATTCCTTTATTAATAAATGGAAGCATGAGTAATGCATCATTCAAGTATGACACTTTTTTTCTACTCAGCAGCTTTTTTTTTTTTTTTTTTTTAAATAAATTCTCAATGTTTCTGGCATAACCAGGAAAACAATACAAAATGAAGAAAACACACTAGGCAAGACATACTAATTACTGTCTGTGATTAATTAGTAATTATAAGCCCACTCACACAGTCTCAAACGTTAGTGAGTAATTTATTTGCATGAATTCAATAAAAGAAGGCAAATTTCAAAATACTTTCATTGATATTATTTTAATTGGCAGATGAGCTGGTTGGTTGCCATTGCTTCCGAAACTTAAGAGTTCTTAAACTAAGAATGGACATAGCGGTATCCTGTTCGTTAGGCTGATCAGGAATCAGAAGCCTAACAACCAATCTGTAGCAAAATAATTAGTCCTCACTGTCTACATTTTGCTGAGGATCTCAATGAGACTCTGATTTACCAGACTGCAGCAGGGAAGCATTTAGTGATGATTTCGAGCATTCTTCAGTTCTAATGCCAGGAAGCATTGAATAGCAGGTTTGACCACTAGCAAAACCCTGAAGTGAGGGCTTCTAAGAGAATTAGTCACAAAGTCTCGATGTCATAAGAGCCCTGGATATCCCCGGTAGAATTTAAGTGTGCTCCTTGTGCTACGCTTGAAGACTTGCACTTCTGTCTTCTGTCTCATGTAACCTTATTGTGAAGCCACATGCTATTACTGCTTCCTTTTAAGCTGGATTAGAGTGATTTTTTTTTTTTTTTTTATGTGTGTGTGTGTCTTAAAACAGTCTTAAAAAAATTTCCCAAATATTTAAAAATATTTGCCTAGCCTGTGTTGTTAAATTTTCTTGCTTATTTTCTGTTTGTCATTGCAAAGTCTGCTGAAACATGACGGTTCTTGTAAAATAGAATTTTTAATTACTCTTCCACGGAATAAAACTGTTGTAAGCTTAAAACCAGGACATGAGTGAATTACTTAGTTCTTCCTTCAGTTAACCCGTCATATGGCTTCAGAGCAAAGTTTTAAAATAGCACTATCTAAAAAAATAATGTTATGAATCACTACTTCTTACAAGACCTTTTGAAGTTCTCCCATTTCCTGTTTGTAAATCCTTAGTCTTTGCATTAAAATGTTTTCAGATAGGAAAACAATAACAATTGATTTACATGGACAAAAGCAGCTTTTCTCAGTTTTCAGTCCAGCTTCCTCTGAGATCTCATTGACCTCCAAAGTTCAACTTCTTCCAAGAAAGTTTTCTTTGGGATTAATGGCCTTCAGAGTCAAATCATTGTTGAGTGCTATAGCCATTACCAGTGTTATAACTAAGGCTGTATCAGCATTTCCACATAAACTCTTATTTTCAGAGATTTATAGCTTGCCTACAAAAATATAGTTTTCTGCTGAAACTTGGAAGAAAAAGAAAAGCTCAGTCTGGGAGCAATTTTACTTCTTATTTTGGGAAATTTGCACAGCTCTGTAGGTATTTTTAGACTGAAATTCTGAACGAGATCATGTCTTGCTACATCCACTTGGTGCCTTGGAGAATTCCCAGCCTGACTTTCTAAGATCTACTTCTGACAAATTATGGAAGGGCAATGAGAAAGGTTTAAGAATGTTTTTTTTTCCGATGCTAAAGATTCCCAAACTGGATCTAGTCATTATTCTCTAGAAGACATTTCAAACACTTGAAAATTCTAAGATGTGTTTGAAGATTGCAGCCAAATGTGAGCTCAACAAACTGCTCTGCAATAAATGGAGAGTTCTGAATGTTTCTGTTGCATCCTCATACAGCATAATTGAGCATCATGCTGATACTTCTGCAGTTATAACCTCTGATAGACTGAGAAATGAGAACCCTGATGGTTACACAGAAGAGGCCTAAGAAAAGCTAAGGTGAAATGAGGAGTTTGGGGAAACTGTGGCCTCCTGTCTCTGCAGACCCATGACAGGGCCCTCATACACTGAAGAGGACTGCGTGGGAAAGTGGAGGAGGCAGGCACCTTTCTCAAGCATCATGAAAGTAAATCTGATAAAAATTAGAGCTTCGTATAGCAAGATAAGAAGTACTTACTCTGCTCTCACGCACCACTTCAGAAGAGATTTGGAGGCACCATCTGCAGGGAAGTATGACACAGATGCCGTGGAGTTCCCAGTTTCCTTTGCCGGTAATTCCCGCAAAAGGTTGATATGGTCCCAAGTCATTGCCACTGGGGATGAAAATGTGATACAACACACAAACATTTTCAAGGCTACAGATTTAATTGCTTCAAAGAAAAATGTACTCAGCTAAGTGCAATACAGTGGTTCCCATGACTCATTCAGTCCACAATAGAAATCTGAGCAAACCAGAGACAATACCCTGTGTTCCCAAATCCCCCAAATTCCCAATCACATGCCACACAAAGTAAAAGGCCAAGTCCCCCCTGGAGCATCTTCTCATTTCAGAAATGTCAGTGACTACCTCAATTGCTCCTATAATCCAGACAGATCACCCTTAAATTCATTCTATTCTGTTTTCTAGCAGAAATATTTACCCCCCCTGAAACAGCAAGGCAGTGTCTTTGAAAACAAGGCACTAGTAACCATACAGAAACAACAGTGCTGCATCTCAGTAGGAAATACTAGCCTTCTTATCTTTGGGAATGATCTACTCAAATTTGATCCAGAAATCTTTCTTTTTTTTGGGGCGGGGGGGGAGCTGCTCATTATGACTAGATAAATACAGTCCAAACTCTGAAACTTCTTTTGAAGGCATGATGGAAGGGAAGCGTCACAGATGGGATTAGAAGGAAGATAATGAGGTAGCTTCGCAGATGTCTAAAGGAGCTCTACCCACATGTAAGGCATGGCATTGGATAAAGTTTGAAATGGAATGACTGAAAGTCTAAGAAATAGATGGAGGAGGCTGGCATCATGGGCTAATCAGTGAAAGAAGTGGTTTCTTGATCCTGAATGAGAGATGATAGGTAGGATGAGGGGAAGCTATGAATGGCTTTGAAAGTGAAGACAAGCTGCTTATATCAGATAGAAAAAGAGTTTTATATTTGACAGTCAAAGTGATGGGCTAGGAAAATGATCTCTGCAATACTATGCAGTGTAGATTCATCCCTGAAAAATTGCATTTGTCAAAACCAGAGGAATGGATATTTCAGCAGTCTACTGAGCTTTATGATATTTTACATATATATTAGTTCTTGCATAATAATCATCATATAGTAAATTTTATAGCTTACAATTAGTGTAATTGTTTTTAATGATTTTTGGAAACTTGAAGCAAATGACATCGTGAAGTGGACATTTTGTTGGATATTTCTCATAAAATTTTTTTGCAACATTCTTGTAAAAATTCCAGTTTTCTAAAAGAAGAAAATGATATACTTAACATCCTTTTTATATGCATCTCTTTTCCTTTTTTTGGCGAAAGCCTTTCATTTAAACACAATACCTGAGGGCATTCAATGCTCATATCCATAGCACATTACGCAATGACTTAGCTGGTGGTCTTGGTTTATTCCTCTCTGGGCTCTGCTGGCAGGAAAAAGGTTGTCCATTACAACTTGGAGATCACTCTGGAAAATCTGTATGCTGGATAACACATAAATCAGGTTACTAGCATGCCACCTCCTAGACATGCAGATATAACAGCAGTTCTACACTTTTGCTTGGGATGGTGTTAGCTTATAGTGGTTCTGGCTGTAATACACAAGAAATTCATTTTATTCCCTATTGTATCATAGCTTTCATTTCCCCCATGCAGAGACTGACTCCTGCATACACATTCTTCCAGGGCTTTTCCTATTAATAGACAACCTGGCTTCACACACTGAAATGAAGAAACAAGGTTTTGAGTGCCTGCCTAATTTAAGCAGACCATATGTCATATGCTATAGTATCCAGTCAGAGGAGAATAAAATAAAGCAAGATTGAGAGGTAAAATAGCTTCCTACCGTTAGCTAGCCTCTCAGACTCAAAATTCAAATCAGGATTATTATTTGTATTGTAGTAGTGCTCAGAAATTCTACTCCTGAGACAGCATGCCCATTAAGAACACATTAGAAATATGGGTAATTTCATGTGATGCATAGAACAAGAAACTAGTTCTGAGCATACTTAAATAAAGGTCCTTGAAATTTTGAGTCTGAGAGGCTAGCTAATGGTAGGAAGCTATTTTTTTTTTTTTTCTGGAATGGTCTTCAAGCTTTTAAAGTGTGACCAGCTTCACAATTTTCTGCTTTGGCTTTCCAACTTGTAAAAACTGGAGTACAGTTGTTTACTATTTATTCAGTATCCCGTGACTGTAGAACGAAAGCCTACAAAGGCTATTGCAAACCTTCCTTGGCACTAGTGGATGAATGTTGCTTTTTTAAGCACATTATGTTAATTATTATTGCTTAACCAGTCCATCTCTGCTGCACAGTTGAAAGAAATGTGCTCTTTCAGACGCCTTGGCTGGTTATATAATCAGCATTCTTCACAAATATTTGACTCATTAGGACTAGCAATCACATTTTCCTGGCAAGTTGTCTAGAGCTGTCTGCAAGCAGTCAGAGAACTAGAAAATGTAATAATCTGATTTTCCATTTACTTCCTCCCCCTTATCTCACACACTTCTACTGCAGCTTTTACCCCTTTGATTTGTCTTTAGAATCTCTTGATAAGCAGCATTGCCAGAGCACTTCTTTCATGTCACAGGACGGGTAAGAGCATGGTCAGCTGACAGGCATGCATGCTTCCACATTCTCAGGTTTTTAGGAAGTGCTATCCTCTACTTTCAGTAAAAGTCCAACTTCCATTACATTTACAATCCAAACTGGCATTGTCAGAGGCTTACACTGGTATGAAAAACAGAAAAGGAAGAAATTGCAAAGCAAACGTAGCTTAAGACTTCATTGTTTTCTTATCTTCTACTTGCAACCAATGAGAAGAATAAAAGATACGCTGTCTAAAATGGAAGGGAAAAGATTAACAGAGAAAAAATTACTGGAAATGAGGAGTAATTTTGTGTCATATTTTAACCAGCGCTCATCAGTTTGCTTTATGAATCTGCAATACTGCATAGAGCCAGCAGTTTAGATACTCAAAAATCAGAAATGAATACAGTTTAACAAATAAAAGCCACATCTGGGAAAAAAAAAATAGTTTACTGGTCATTTATTCACTTTTGCAAATACTATACTTATTCTTCACCTTTCTCTTCTACTTAATCCAGTTAGTAGCTTACACTCAAAGGTGATGACTTAAGTTAAAACAACAGTTATGAAAATAGGGGACAAGGCTGATTTTAATCAACAGTAAAAGTTATGCAATACAAAGCTCTATGATGTGGCATACTCTGCTAGAAAAAACAATCCATGCCCCTGTCCTATGAAGCCTTCTGTGATGTATGCCTGTGGGATGTGTCCATGAGGACCAAATTCATATCTTTGTAGTATCTAAGAGGAAAGAAAAAGTCTGAAACATCATCTGATTGTATATTAGAAAGGTCAGTCATCCTGCCACATTTCATGGTAATGCCTCACCCTATTGTAATTATCTGTGAATTTCTGACAATTGGCAACCAACAAAAAGGTAGACTTTATATTTCAAGGAGAGTTCTGAGCCAGAAGTCTGACTCTGTGCAGCTGTAATAGACAGCTGCATCTCTGTAGAGTTCATCTGCACCTGTGCAACGTAATCTGTGTATTTGAGCCACAATGTTCTCCAGTTTTGCAAAATGAAACTAGGTATTTTGGTATTTCAGATTTAAAGTGCTGAGAAAAAGACTTTGTAACAAATGTTTTCTCTTAGAGTAGTGGAGGTGTAATTTAAGAAACCATTTTGGCACAGTCATAGACAACATCTTAGAAGCTTCCTTAGGAGCCTAGCACTGGAGTTGTACTGCTCCATTTGCTTCAGCTTGCTCAATGCAAAAGAGAAACTGAAGTCAGGCTTTCTCTGACTGCATGTTCGCTTTGAAGAAAGAATTGTGATTGTTGGCAAGGGAAGGAAGGAGCTAGGACAAAACAAGGGAAGGAAGAAGTTTTTTTTTTTCTTTCCACCAGCCAGCTCCTTAACTTTGCTGCCAAGATTATAACTCTAATTTACAAGACAAACATAAATCTACTTATAACATTATTTAACTTGAATTACGAAAATGACATGGCGTTTGGGTTGAAATCTTTGAGTATTCAGAGAAGGGAACATGAGGAAAATACACACATGAGACAAGGGTCATTCTGATGCTAATGAAAAACGTTCCTAGTAAAAAAGAAAGTTTCTGTTCATGCTTAAGGTACTTTTAACTCATTGCATATATATTTTTTCTTTTTTAATGTCTCTTATTATAGAGATAAGATAGAAATGTAAAAGTACTTAGATGTAGCAATCTCTAAGCATTTAAGCAAACAATGAATCCTTGAGAAGGATCAATGAAGGAAGCCTCCCTGTCGTCTTCCTTGAATAATTTATATGTATTTTGGGATATCAGGGGCAAAATACATCAACATAGAAGAATTTTCCTGATAAATTTGTTAATTGCAGTAATTATTTAATGTAACATGTTAAGATTCATGATGATAATATAAAAGTTGATGTCATGAGCTATGTTGTGAGGATCTTCTCTGCAGAATTTGCATATATCAAAATTATTTGGTAGAGCATATCTGAAAGATATGCAAAATCTGTGTTTTTAAGTGGGAACAACCCATTAAATCACATTTTGCAACGTAGCACACCATCACAAAACTTTTCCATTAACTATAACTGGCTTAAAAATGACCTATTTATTGCCTTCCCAGAAGAAATGAAAGAAAAAAAGTATTTGCAAATACTAGAAAAGATAGAATTACTTTGTTGTTGTTATCACATTGTAACTACAAGCCTGACCACAAAGAAAAGCAAGAATTTAGATTTTTGCATAAACAGCCACTGGAGATTTCAAGAATCACTCTTAAACTGGAAGATGGAAAAAATCCATTTCTGCAAAATATATCTTTTATAAAGCAAGACTCCAGCAAGACAAACTTTATGATAGTTACACAATGTGGGAATATAGTTAAAGAAATCTGTAGCAAATCTATCTAAAAGATCAAAAGTAATGAGGCCCTTTGACTCTGTTTCCACTGACATAATATCTTACATTTATTGGAGGACTAATGCCTTCCATACATTACACTAAAATTTGACCTTCCTTTCTTTTTACTACATTCTTATGTCACTTCTAAAACAAATCTTTCTCTACCATTAAGGAACATAGATGGAATAATGGGCCCATGCCTAGAAACATAATGTAAAAAAAATTGTGAAAATAAAAGGAAATGAGGCAGTTTTTCAAAGGAATTAAAAATCAAGTAGCCAGACTTTGTCTTTAAAAATGCTGGAATTTTGTTAGATTAAATCCCACAGTATTATACATTCATCCAGATTTTTGAGCAATCTGTAGATTCAATACTTCAGCTAAAAGATTATTTATCATTATAAACATAGTTCAAAACAATGTAAGAGTATCATAATAAAAGCTAGGGTGTCTCATAACCAAAATGCAAGTAGGAAAAAAAAAAATCCCACATTATTCAATCATAGTCATTCAAACTAAAAATATTAATTGGAGCCCTAACTTCAATTGCCAAATACCCTCAGCTATGACTTCTTTGAATGGAGACTGCACTTGTGCTGCTCTTCTCAGAAAATCCCCCTTAATCAGGACTAAAGAAACAGCTGCAAACATCCAACAGCTACAAATATCCAACAGGCTTCAGTTTGGTGATATTTCCTGATGTTTCATCTTGTATCTTCAGTTTCCCCAAGTTTCCAAGTGAGAATCAGTTCTGTTTTTAAATTTGGAAATGATTCTGATCAAGATGTGACACACTGGCATCATACTTAGTTTGAGTTTCTCTCTTCATAATGGATGTTGAAAGACAACGGATGTTTAGTGTGAGAATAAGCACTAACATGACTGGGTTGTTTCTTTTCAGATCCAAGCAAACTCACAAAGCAGAAAGGCACTAATGACAGTATCCATTTGGTTTTTGGTCCATCTGGAAATAGGGCACCCAACTGTGGTTTTTGATCTGGGATTTAATCGTGGAGTATTTCCTTTTTTTTCTGGGAAAGAAACAGCCTTCCCCTACCTCAATAAATAAAGAATCTAACTGAATAATTTAGTTTCTCGAAATATTAAAGGGATCCAAATTCATAATGAAAATACTCAATGTTTTCACTGACTCTTTTTGGTAAGTATCTCATGTAAAGCCAGGATCTGGCATGCCTTAGAAACTATACAGCCAAAAAAAAGTAGGAAAGGCAATGATCTCTGAGAAACTTGCTGCCGCTGCTCAGCTGATGGGACTTGGAATTGCAAGGGGTGTCATAAAAGCTGGATAGACTCTGTTAGATGGCGAAAATAGGTCTCACTTTGACACTTTCCTCCAAAACTAGCTTCTTCTTTGCTATTATTTACTATCCATTACATGCAATGTTTTCAGACAACAGTCTTTCTAGCTTCTCTGTAAATACCAGAAAAAACTGGTCTACCATTAGAAATGGCATTCTCCCTCTTTCACAGATTTATTGATGCTTATGCAAAAAACTTGCATGTCTATGCTATTTCCTCAGTCATTGCTGTCAAATGGAAAACCTTTGCTCAGTGCAGTCTGAGAATGGAAAGCTTTTGGAGCTACTGTTCAAGTTTTTAATGGCCCTGTCAGAGTTCTATTCAAATGGACAGGTGAAGCCTTAGCCCCCACTGAGCCCAACAAGAACCAGAACTCATAATGCTGGCTGCTTGTCTTGTTCATTCTATCCAAAGTCCAAATTTGCATTTCACTACATTTCACTATTTCTGAAAGTAATGCCTCCTACTTTATTATGTTGGCCCACAATGTCAGAGATGTATGTTGGTGGTATGGCAGTAGAGGATGAACCTTCCTGCCAACATTCCATTACATGCTGTTGCTGTGTGACAGATGGCAGCAGAGGGGCAGTCTGACAAAATGGTGTCTGACATGGAAACGCATATGAAGCAAAAGTGTGTCACTGAATTCCTGCAAGGGGAAAAAATGGCACCCACTGACATTCACTGACACTTGCTGAACATTTATGAAGACCAAATAGTGGATGTGAGCACAGTGAGGCAATGAATGGTGCATTTCAGCAGCGGTGACAGCACCATGGGTCACCTCTGCTGATGCAGATTGTTATAAGCGTGGCATGCAGGCTCTTGCTCATCGCTGGTGAAAATGCACAGTTAATGGTTATGCTTATGTTGAAAAATAGCGTTTGGTAGCTGAGAATTTGCACTCTCAAATAGTGTTATTGTGCTCAATAGTTGTTGTAGTTGTAGTTTCCATGGAAATAAATAGGAGGTATCACTTTCAGAGTGACCCACTTACCTAGTATGTGGAAGTATCTGAATGCAGAAATCATATCTTGTGAAAGCTGAATTAAAATCTTCACTTCTAGTTGTATGAAATGTCATAGGGATCCTTTCTCTGCCATACACAGATCTATTGGGAGACAGTTTAAACACTGGGGGAAAAGGGGAAAAATGCTCACAACATGGAAATCATTGACAAGTGCTTTTTATCCAATAATAAGAGGAAAACTTAAAATGTAAGCTTCCCAAGACTACCCAGAAATACTTTGAAGTGCTTGTCATTTAGTGAATACATGTTCAGGCTCTGTCTGGAGAACTGATTCTCATTTTTTAAAAAGGGAAGGAAAAGGAGCATAAAGATTGCAGTAGAATAGAAAACACGGCTTCCACAGCCCGCTCTTAATTTAGAAGGGGTGCAAGAGCAGCATTTTAAGGACATTTCCTGAAGAGAATAAATATTTACATACACCTCCAAAAATAGGAACTTAAAATATTTTGAAAAATAGTTATTAGTCTAATCTTTGCTTTTTTTTTTGGAAGCTTTAGGGCAAATTCAGTGTTGTGACATGTTTGCTCTGAGCCCTCCTTATCTCTGACAATACATTATAGCATTAAAACAGCACTGCTGTGCTTTCTGTAGGGGGCAGTCTGATCAAAGCTTTTGTTTTCCAGTAGGAAAAACACTGGAAAAGACTCTTTTGCCAAACCAACGTGTAGAACATTAATGTTCGATGTCCAAAATGCTTTCAGTGCTGGTTAACTAGAATTATTTTAAAATTTGTCTAGTGGAGTATTCAGAATGAGTCATGCAGAAATGAATATTTATGTTCCTTCTGACCTCAAACATTCATGGCCTTGCACAAGGTCACGTAAGGAGACTGTGGAAAGCTTCCACATAACTAACTTGATAATTTCTCTCCTTAGTTCAGCAAGCTGTGTGTGTGATGTACACCACATGGTTTTTGGTGCACTCAGAATCACATTAAGTTCTCTTAAAATTCATTTTATAACTATTTAATTGTGAAAGATGATAACTGAAATTATACAAGGAATGCTGGAGCAGGGAGATGAATTGCAAGGGATAGCATTTTGCTGCTGCTGGGGTTATTTTTAAATCTGGCACTGATTCTGTAACCATTACACATGCTGTTTCTCCCCAAAAGATATCTCAAACGCAGCATAAATTTCCAAGCCCAAAGACTAAGAGGTTTCAGAAAAACAAAATGCAAAAGCAGCTGCTTTGCTTCTTGAAATCTTTCTTGGATCTCCTAAAATTATTCTTCTAGTGCTACTGTGCTTCTGTGTTTTCCAGACAGTTTTCAAAATATTTCTCATGCAGATATAAATGCACATATTAAAGAGTACAATTCAGATCAGGAGGACTGATGAGTCACTTATATACACAGCAACATAATGAACTGAATGACAGGAAATAAAGAAAAGGCAGATTTAGGATTCCTTAAGTTTGAGTAAGAGGAACACAGATCAAACTGAATATTATGTTTCATACAAGGAGTTATTTTGCCACTTTAAAATGTGGCAAGGGAGGCAGAACTTAGAGTGATGAAATTCCAGTGCCCAAGAACTCCAAACATCTCTGGAATTGTGTGCAGTGCTTAGCAGGAAAATGGAAACATTCAGGGCCCAGAACTTGCAAGCATACAATATTTTTCAAAGGGCAGCCTGAAACAAAGCTGGCCTGCTGCAGAATGAATCTTCAGAACTATATGACTTTGCCTAGAGTTGGAATAACAAACACTGCTGGAAAGAATATTTTTGGTACAACAGAACACTGTGGAAGATATAAAGAAAATTATATTGGTCAGAAAAAAACAGGTGGGGGTTAAAAAGGATGGACAACGTCAATTGTATTAGCATGGAGGAGAAACACAAATGTCTTTTTTCATTATGAATTTTCAGTTGCTTTGATTACTTGCGGCCAAAGCAATAAACTAGTTTGTTCCTTTTAACTTTTAAATCAGCTTTTAACAGCCAGTAGTACTGAGTTAAACAGGAGCTATTGCTAAAATGGTGCATTCAGCACAGAACATAGCCTACCGTTGGAATAAGCAATTAGATCATAACTTTCTCCATTATTCAAAACAAAAAAGAGAAGATCTTTGGAGAATATCCTGTTGGAATAACCTCAAGATATAATTATACCTATTTTAGCTTGTTTGTTTACTTGTCTTTTTCTTATTTTAAATATATATATAAGGATTGGAGTGGGATGATTAGAAAAGGTGAGTTTGGGCGGTCTTCACTTAGCAGTCCCAAGGGATAACTCCATTCAGTGGCCAGCTGGGATTGAGGGCAATTTCCTGACCACCCTCTCAAGAGTGACAGGCACAGATCAGGGTGGGACTATATCACTGCTCTCACCTCCATGCTCGGGGTAGGAAGCCCTCCCTTTTTCTTCCTAGAACATAACCTGGGAACTTTTATTTCCTGAACTGCTCTTGCCTCCCCCCAAGAAAAGATGCAGGCTCAGTGGAAGCATCTCAAATGCTGAATTCGAGATGTGGCCCACCAGCTGGCCCTGACTAAGTTTGTTATATGGGAGAGAGTTTCATTTTCTTGATATAAGTCCCTCTGCAGATGTGAAAAGGACTGGGGGGGGGAGGGATGGGAAACGAAGGACCAAATCCTCTCTCAGCAGAAGACCACAGCTAAAGTTCCACTCAGATGCAGAAAGGTGAGTTCCAAATGGCTTGTTTTAGGCAAAGCATTTTTATGGTTACAAATAATAACAAATTGCAAATATTTAAAATCACATAAGACACTTCATTTCTATTTAAAGCATTTCTGTTTTCTGATAGTTTAATAAGGCCTGTGGCTATCCACTACACAATTACACTGTAACTCTCATTTGTATTAGTTATACCTATATCCTACTAAAGGTCTATTAACCTATATCAGCAAAACAACTGCAAAATATTGTGTGATTAATTTACACAAGTGAGATGGTTCTCCAAGATCATAAAAACTATTAGCTGTAACGGCTACAGTAATTACACAAGTAAGACAAACTTGAGGCTTCATCTGGCATCAACTTGTCTAGGAAAAATGTCTGCTGCTTACCTCCCAGAATTCTTTTTTTCTCTATTGACTTCCTCCTGCCTTCAGCATCAACAAATCCCACGTCTCCACAAATCCAGAAGATGAAATGCTTGTGCTGCTGTAGGCTGCTCCTTTGGATGGCAGTTCTCTGGGACAGTCAGGTAGGCATTCCTGAGTTTCCCTTTTTAGAATTCCTTTAAGAAGAGTCCTGTAGACATGAGCACTTTTAGAAAAGCTTTTATATTTATGTATTTAGGAAAATATACTAATCTTCTAAAATTGGATCATTTTACTGAAATGCTTGCTAGGGATTTATCAGATCCATCTTCCAGGAAAATTGTCAGCTCTCAATAACAGCACTTAGTCACTCTTTCACAGCATGACTCCCATCCTTAATCATCACGAGTAACGCTAGGAGTTGCCTGTTTGATCCTGCTAAGGTATTAAAGCACGTTACATCAGCTGAATGATATCTTCACAGTGGAGAAATACCACGAAATAGAAAACTAAGGTAAATGTTTTAATATCCTGAAATAAAGCTTCTAAATCAAAAAAGAACAACTTAAAATGCAGATCAGCAGTACAGTAATTGCTTATCCATTCTTACCTATTTTCAACATGGAAGAAATAACGCACAGCAAAAAATGCTGAAAACCTACCTGAAAAATGAAAGAGTAACATTGTTTTTGTCAGATGCTAAGGAATATGACTTTGTCAATTAATGCTCTTATCTTCCACAGCCTAATTGGGAGCCTGCATGAATAGTTAATGGCGGAGGATAGGTAGCAGAGAAGGGCAAGTCAAGATCTGTCGTGCTGGGATCACTGGCTGTCAGACATGCAAGGCAGAGGCTCAACCACCACCCCTCCCCATGCATGCCGGCTGTGTCTGCCACGATGGGGGAGCATGTTGGTGCCCTAAGGCAAAATTCTACCCAGCTGATGGAAACATGGATGGGTAGCTTGTGCTTTGTCTAAGACATTTTCATGTCATTAGTGTTAATGAGGCAGTACCCAGCACACCATGCACTCAGCCCTGCCCTTTGTGCCTCCTTGGAACATGTTGTTTCAGGCTCCTGACCCCTCGTGTTCTCTGATGCTCTATCTCCCCATCCTTAACCCTGGACAGACCCAGCTCTTCAGCACGTCTCTCACACAAGCAGTTGGCCTAATAAGAGGCTAATGCAAAATGCTAACATTTTTGTTTCAGGAACAAACAAAACACACAGAAAACAAAAAACAAAGGGCAGATTCTGGCTGAGCACTACAGCTGACCAGAGATGTGGCATCTAATCAAAGTGTCTCTAGAGCGAGAAAGAAAGGTAAAACTGGTACAAGTACCTGCAAGCAGTTTGGGAAGATGCTGTCAAAGAACTATGTAGTTTGCAGTGTGAACACTGTCTCATGAATGTCTTTGTAGAGTTTTCAACAATGAGATAAAACTACTGCATCAAGCTGAGATAATGACAAAATAATCATAGCTCTTGCTGAGAAAAAAACCTTGGGTCTTTGTAGACCAGTAAAGGATTGTTTGGTGCTTGGATGTTGGATAAAAACACTAGGCTCTTTCTGTTTTTGTTATTAAAGGCATATTTAATCTCTAACTTATATGAGGTTTGGTGTTTGTGGGCCTATAATTAAATTAGAAGGAAAAGAATAACGGGAGTGTTGTAAAATTATTTCAATGAACTTTTTATTGTTGTATTTTAAAATATGTATTGTAAGTTCTGTCCTTTACCCAGAATTAGACATTCACAACAATTACATTATTTAGGTATATTCTTGTTTTTAAGAAATATAGGGTACATGTTTAAAGGCACTTTAGGATTGATTAACTGAAGTTAATTTTATTAAATGGAGCTGTGATTTGCTGTGTGTATTGCTAAAGGATGTGATTGCAAAGATGATAGTTAAATAACTGGAAGTTGATTACACATGGAAGTCCATGGAGACTGCATTCTGTCATGAATCTGTGCAGTTTTTTAAGATCCCAATGAAGTATTTTGAATGCTGATAAAGAAAGCTGCAAAGATTTAAACAGATAAATCTTAATTAGTAAGTCAGATAAGATGAAAATTAGCCGAGGAGACCACGCCACATACCTCTCACTACCAGCCCTATTTTTAAGTTTAAAGGCTTAAAATTTTTCTGTTTTTTATCTAACAGCATCTTACGACAAAAGACAGATATTCTCTGAAAGGGAGACCAGAATATAACCGTTTTCTCCTCCTTCCTTTCCTCTCTGCAGGTGAGCGCTTTAAACAGTCAACCCTAGAGTCATGTTCCTTCTTGCTTACTCCCATCTGTCTCAGTTTCCTTCCTGTAAGTCCCACTCAGTACTTAAGAAAAATAAAATCATAAGCACCAACATAGAGGACAGAACCTCATAGCTTGAAAAGATGAAAGGTCAATACTTCCAGCTTTATCAGAGTCTAGAATTGTAAATGTTTCCTCCAGAGGGTTAAAGGGACTTTGTTTGTTTTGTCTTGCACAGGTTTTCCTACGGATGAAGATACTTTTACCTCTTAGTAGGTGTTCAAAACCAGGATGACAAGGAAAACAGCCCAACTGCTATTTTTTGTCCCAGCATTTGCATTGCACTTCCACTATTTGCACTGGGCATGTTTAAACATGTCCAGGTTTTATTATTTTTTTTTTTTTAAAGGGGTTTCCCAGTTCATCTGGAGCAACAGCATTCAGATGTTTCATCAGTTACTGCCTGGGTGGGAAAATAGATCACTACCTAAACTCTGAGCAGGCCTTTTCATGGCAGGGTTAGATAGATCTCATCAGTGTAGTGGATCTGATCGATAAAAAGTATTTAATAGTTTTCTACCAGCTAGCTGCTAGGGGCATGACGATGATTCAGTTTGGAATATGTGAGCACAAGTTTCATAACAAAGTAACATCCAGCAATAAATTATCAGTTTTTAAGGACAGGTGATGGAAATTTAAAGATTAATGCTTTATAGTTGTTCTAGTATGTTTAATAAAAATAGCTGAAATAATTTCAAATAATCTAATGCATTAATATTTGCTTCTGGAATGAAATATTACAACAGAATTAATATTAAATTGAATTTTATATATTAATCAAGGCAATCTTTGTTCTACCCATTATGACTAGAGAAAACTGTGGCTGGATGGTGTTTCATTTTAGAAGGTAACAGCACATACAAGGATCTGGTCATCGTCATGAAAGGGATTCTGAAAGTCCCAGCACACTGCAATCAGGTGTGAGCTTAATTGGTGGATGAACAGCTCACTTGCTCCACAGGTGAGCACAAGTCATCATCCATGAGCAAACTAAGAGCACGCTCACTGTCAACCACAAAAGAGTAACTCCAGTACCATTTGTTCATAGAACAAAATCAAGCACTGCCAAGTGGTGCCAAAGATTAGACCTGTGAGCTCAGTCTGCTGTTAGTAGCAATATGCTTGGATAGAAGATTGCACACAAGCAGGGCGATGGAAAGGAAACGTTACGCCTCCCATTTCCCAGACAGAGGATGGAGAGGCTGTCAAAGAAGCTAACTGCTGCTACTCGCAGTGTGCGGAGCTGCTTTTAGTAGCCAGACTAAATGCAGAATGGCACTGTGCCACAGAAGTCCCCTAAATGACTTTCTCAGGCAGGGACAGAAAACGAATCCAGTCAGACGGTCGCCAAAGCCACGGCCTTAACCACAGTTCCCTTTCCACTGCCTGCTTCTCCCTCAGCCTCCATGGAGGCAGCTCACAGAGGGTGAGGGGAAAATGGCCGAATGGCTGTCCTGTGGGATTCCTTCTGCTTTACTCACATTTGGGTCACTGGAGTGCTCAAAATTCAGCTTTTATCAAATTTATCACCTTCAATCGTTCTCTATTAGACCTAGTAGCATTCGTCTAAACTACTGAAAGTCATTTTATACTGATTCCTTTATATTGCACAGTGTGAAATAACAGATATTATATGTAACTTGCAATTGAAGATATTTGGGTCACATCCCCAGAAGCTAATTAAAAAATAACACATTCCGTGATTTCTTTTGACTATGAAGAGGGACTTGTTCTGCCATCTTACTCACTAGAGGTTACATATACATCTCTGTACATACAGGAGTTACTTATGGAAATAACAGCAGCAGATTGGAGTGATAAGCATTGTAATTTCAGCAATACAGCATCACTGTCACTTTCTGAACTCTGGATGAAAAATACCAAAGAGCCTATTTGTGCCCTATTATGAAGTAATGAATATATACAATTTCACATCTCACAACTAGAACAGCGCCTGTCAGAAGATACACTTTGATTTTTTGTTAAGTGCAAAATTCACATTTTTATTTCTGTGCCTTTCAAGCATACAAAACAACAGGGTCCAGATGCTGTTCTGAGAGAATCACACAAAAAGAAAGTATTTGTCTTCAGGGAAGAGGAAGGAAAGGTTCCTCTTTATTATTCCAGGACTGACATCTTAGTTCATGTAAAAAAGACCAGAGCTACAACTCTATCTCCTCCTTGTCCTCTCTTGATAGTTTGCATTTGCATGGGACAGGGAAAGAAACACAACTGTTTCTAATTTGTCTGCTGCTCAGATAAGCCTTGAAGTGGCTGGCAGTAGGCATTTGAAGTTTTTTTATCTGACTAAATGGCAGTAAAGGGAAATCAACAGCCATGGGACCAAAGTAGGCATTTGCTCTGGCTCTTTGCAGTCTGTAGCTGCTGCAGTGTAATGGCTGCCAGCCTGTTTCTTGAGGCTGACCACCTCTTGGGCACCATTGCTGCAGTATCTTCTTGAAGACTGTTGGCAACCAAGGCATGTGAGAATAGCTGACATGGACATGGATACTGAAGCTGCTCTCTTTGTTCCTTCTCTCCCACCTTTCCCCTAAGCACTCTAAGCACAGAAAGTCCCTTGTATGAAGCTAAGAACTCACATTAATTAAATTTCAAAAAACCAGACAAATACAATATTTCAATTCCACAATTAGAAAGAAAAACATGTTTGTCACAAACTGACAATCATCAGTTAAATGTTTTGGTTCCTAGGGGAAAATTCACTTAAATACATTGCACTTGACCAACATTTCTCCTTCTCTGCAGTTTAATGTGTTTGTCATAAAACATCCACTAGAGAGGATACAGGTGCTATAGATGATTGCATGTATAGACAGGAATAGGCAGGAGCCTGAATGTTCTATTTATTGGCTTGGCTGTTTATCCTTTAGGCTAAGGTTGTATGCATTAACCTAACCACTTCCTAGATTTATTTTAAAAGGATAAATAAAACACATGCCTAGCAATGCTAGAATTTAAATGATTCCAGGTGTGGTATTCAGAGATCATTCAGTTAGGCACTGTAAGAAACTTAATTTACTCTGTTTTTGAGAGGCATGATGACTTGCCTGAGCTACCCATGCAGGGAAGGGAATGCCTCTATGATGGCACATCCAAAATGAAGGATGCCTGCATGGCTGGCAGCAGAGCAGCTGCCTCCATGTGACACTAGTGCCCCACGTGCTCAGCCTACTGTATCTCTGTCAACAAGCATTGCCAGCAGCAGCTCTGCAGCAGAAGGGGAGCCAGTGGGACTGGGGTTGGCAAAGACACAGCAAGGGAGACAGGCTGACCTGTTCACTTTCCCTGAACAGCCCTCCTAAGCTGCTCAGCTGTATAACAGTGATGGTTTAGCACCAGTAACCACTGAAGGCCAGGGACAATAGAAATACGCTGCTGATTGCTCTGTTGAGCTATCTGCTGTACAAAGATATGTGCTTTCTAAGTATGAAGGTTAGAAAGTAAGAGAAAGAAAAAGGATCAAGAAAAGAGATCCATATCTGAAGGCGGTGGGAATAACATCTCATATTGACAGAGTTTTAATGGATAATTCATTAATCTGTTCTATTTACACTTGTACTAGTCATTTAACACCTTATTAAATTATACTTTATACAAGAAAATTCATACCAGGGATTATGTCAGCAGGTGATTGCACTCCCAGCCTTGCTGCCAGTCTTATTTGCTTGGAGACAGATTCCACTAAGTTAGGATCAGCATTAGATGTATAACCATCACCATGTGAGAGAGCTCTACCTGGGTGCCTGGGAAAGAGAGAGGAATGTAGAAAGCATCAAGGGAAAGAATAAGCATTTTAGAGAAGGAAAAATTATGGGGTTCAAAAAAGCATGAACAATAGTGACATCTTATTTTCTTTGTATAAATGACTTTTAGACTAGCGCACTTCCCCAGAACTGTGTTAATTTTCCAGCCACCAGCTGCCACCAGCTTCCAATGTACTTTCATAGGCCACTCAATCATTGAGAATATATATTACTAGTTTCTAGAAATAAAAATATGATCACCAGAGTCCTCTCATCCCCAATCCAAACCCCATGATCTTCTGAGAATAAATCTCTTTTTGAGACTTCAGTATTCTGAAGAGCTCTGAATGCAGCCTCAAATCACCTCAGCCCCAGCTCAGATGTTTGGGACCTGCCCTCCCACACAGTTGCAGTATCTCTCAAACAGTACTCCCCAGAGCACACTGCTTTGCCACTTTCAATGTAGTGGACAGAACCTCCTCACAGCAATCCTCTAAAACAAAATGGGTGAAAGTAGGTTGCATTTACTTAGGTGTGGCTAAGCCACACATAATATAAACAGAGTTCAATTTTCTCTCTGCTTTTCATTTATCCCTAAGAAAAATATAGCCTGGTTATATTTAGCATTCTAACCCAGTCATGAGAAGGGGCACCGGGCAGGGCTTGTGGTTTCTGCAAGCAATCTGCTGATCATGCCATCTTGGGTAAGCCATCCCCTGCACACAGTCATTAATCTCTCATAAGTGAGTTCTTTGCGTTTGCTTCTCTTTACAGATCCGTCAAACTCCTCCTCTTTGTTTACCAACAGAAAGCCATGCCTAACAGGGCAGCACTGTGCCTGGCAGGACTGTCGCTTTCAGCTGAGTCTGCAGGGAGCTGCCCACCTCCTATACAGCCCCGGGCACAGTGAGTCCTTCTACCAGGAGAAACCAAAGGTTTTGGTACCTACCTTGTGTCCCTTACCAGCTCCTCTCCAGCACAGAGAGGTCAGTTGTAATGGAAACAGATACTGTCTTCCCCCAGCCAGAGATGTGTCAGAACTGTTCCAAGGGCTGGAAGCTGCAGGACGAGCGCACCGCCACCAGGGGACCCTTCCAGGGTAAGCTGGATTGCACCCCTCATTCTGTAGCACTTCCATGCCAAAATGTACTTCTGAGCATGTACAGCCGTAAAAGTATGCTAAAAAAACAAAGAGGTTTTGCCTCACCTCAGAGGCACTTCTTACACACTTCTTACACGCTTACACGAAGTTCCTCAGGCTGCAGCGCCTGAACAGGGGATTCCCAACTACTTCTCAGCATGTTTCTGCCAAGGATGAGCCATCATCACTGCTGCAGTTTAAGGGATTCACCTGTAAAACCAAAACAAAGCCTTCAGAAAGATTAGAGAACTTCAAGAACAGAGTACAGTGCAGCTGTTTTCCTTTATAGATCAAGATAAGAATCGTATTTTTACTTTCAGGAAATGAGTTTAATTTTTAAGTTGCAAAGAACAGCATGAACATTTTTCTGACCAAAGGCAAACAAAATATCTTTCTGATGTAGCAGACGTGCTGATTATTACAGGTAGTCTCTGAAATCAGTACAGGGCCATCTTAATTTTCTCCCCTGAAGCAAAAGGAACTTTATTATCTGTAGTTAAGATGGAATTTGTTGAAATGGAGCTCAATAACTATTATATAAACAAGCCAAAAAATGAATGAATCTAGGGGAATGAGTTGAAATAGTGAGATACATCATGAAACGTGATTAATGACACCAAGGGAAATATAAAATAACATGTTTCCCTGAAAATGTGCTGTAAGTGCACAATGTCTGCACGATATTGTGCATCTGCAGTTCTCTGTCCTGCCACCTAATATCCAAATTGTCTGCCAGTATAAACACAGCTGCTGAATGTCTTCTACAACTGCAAAAATAATGAATCTCCACTTTCTTCCCAACTACTAAGTATGTTTTACAGAGACGAATGCAATGTTTATCTTCGTTCAGCAGAAGACAATGTTGATGCCCAACATATATGTCTTATTAACACACATTCAGATTCATCACAGATCAAAGAGACAGGATGGCTGTTTTATGGTAACCACAGATGAGCTGAGATTTAATGTTTTTGGCTTGAATAATTTCTCATCTGGATTCTGCATAGACATTGGCCTCCTCTTCAGTGGTGGATCACCATTTTAATTATATTTGACCATTTTGACAGCTTTGCTGTATCTAGCACGATTGAGAGGAAAGGATAGGAGACCTCCTTTATGCGAATTCCACTTTCCACATGGTGGATTGGCCTGCAGGCTCTGCTGGGTAAGTACTGTGATCCATTTCTCCCCAGCCTGGAGACATAGGTCTGCAGCAGCCAGGGGCGTGGGAGACTCCAAGTAACAATTTTCATTTTATAATACTAGTCTGGACTGTAAGAAGTAATTTAAGATAATTTACTGTGCTGCATTTACTTGAACAATTTCTATTCAAAAAATGTAACTAAGGCAAACCCAAGTAAAATGGAAAATGATAGTCAGGATTTTCAAACACTGCACTCTGATCTTTGCCTAGATGTAGAGAGCATAACTGAAGGTAGGGGAGTAAGACAGGAAAAGAAATAAAGAAAAAAGGGAGAAATAATGGTCCATAACCTTAGGAAGAGTATCAGTCTATTTATATGCTTCCTGGAATGCTCAGAACATTTAGTCTTACTGGCCACAAGAAACCACTTTTGTTGTGCAAAAGGTTTCACACATGAACTGAAGCCAAAAAGTTTTTTCAAGGCACAGTGGGAAGGAAAAAAAATACTGTATAGCTTTGTGAACAATGGAGAGAAATTGGTCTGTTGATCTGGTAAAAAACATTCTGCATTAAAAAAAAAAACAACCAACAAAAAAAAACCAGTCACCCCCATAACCTCCTTCAGATTATTCTCATGAAAGTCACCTCTTTTGTTATGTGGAAAGAAAATCAGCACCTAAACATTACCAGGCATGCAAGCAAAGTACAATTACTACTCTAGATTAGTGAAAAAACTATGCACACTTTTTTTTTAATACTCATTTTTATCATATCCATCCACGAACTCTTCTGCTTGGAATCCTGTAGGGAAAGGAATATGCCTTTCTTTTGACTTGTACACGAACTAGCAGAAGCCCTCTTTTCTCCTGGCCATAATAGCAATACCAAAGAATTATGATGAATGGTGGGTTTTTATTTTTTTTTCCATCTCCTTAACAAAAAGCAAGACAGATTATGAACTCTAATAGAACTTCTTAAAAAAACAAAACAAAACAAAACCAAAAACATAGTTCTTACATGAAACAAACATTAAAGACATGTTAGGGAGATTTGGTCAGACCATTATGATGAAGAATGAGATACAGCTTTAGTCTTTTTTTTGGAACTTCTTGTTATCTTCCTCAGTTTTTTAACTTATTTTTCCAGATATTCAACTGCAGGTTTTAGATATGACTCTGCCAGTGGTCACTCATGATCTGTAGCTGTGTTGATACAGATCCAAGTTGCCATGTTGGGGAGCAGGAAGGGTACAAGACCTGCAATCCACTTTTTCAGCAGGTAAATGTGTCATAACTCCTGTATCTGAATACTGAAGTGCTCCCTTAGAGCACTGTAGCTAGAAGAAAAACTGAAGTTGAACATAAACTTTCTTGTTGCTAGACTGAAATTCACAGTTGGTTCTAGGAGCCAGCTCTCTGAGTGAGGCATGAGTTTGAACACAAAGTCTTTGCATTTTTGTTCAGCAGCTTCATATTTTTAAGTAAAGGTTAAAGCTGGAACTAATAGTTGCTCCTGCTGAGAAGCTGTGTTTGCATGCTGTTCTCATCCTCAGGGCCAGCCCAGAGGAACAAACCTCAGCAAGCATGTGGCTCTGCTCCTCCAACGCAGCAAGGCTCTGGATGCTGCCGCTCTGGGGTGGAATGAGGTGGTGGTGCCAGGTACAGCTGTCGATTGTGCTACAGTAAAGGCAGGCTAATGCCTTCCAAGCCTTAGATTTGTGCTAGCCCATGTTTATACTGGCATAAACCACAATAGGAATTTGACTACAGTAACATTATGGGCAGAGGTGGGCACAAAATAGAGCAAGAAGACACAAGCTGGGAGAGCATCTGATGTGATGCCCCAGAAGCACACAGGTGAGGGACTGGGGATGAACAGTGTGGGGGTGAGTCCTGCCTTACAGACTGCCTAGGAAAGCCACATCTGACAAATATTCACATATCAATTAGGAGAGAGAATGGAGCTCTTCTCCCTTTTCATGAGGACAGCATATCATATCATAAAAGAAGTGGGGATGATCGTCAGCCTTTATTCACAATACATTTCCATTATTCATTCAGTTAATTTTTTTTTTTAATTTTAGAAAAGTCTCCTGCAGTTATAGATCTGGTAAAACGTATAGCTTTGCACAAAATCAGAAAAGCATGAATGTGAGCTGTCAGGGTGACAAAGGAGGCTTGGAAGAGGGTTCAGGTCACTGGGAAGTCATTCACTTACTACGAAAAGCTGTTGGACTACTCTGATAAAAAGCTTGCCAAAATGTGCTGGGAAATATGAAGTTGCCTGATCCTAACAGGAAAATGGTGTGTGCACATCCCCGCAGTGCTGGTAGGAGCTGCCCATGGGCCCTGCCCTGAGATGGCTGTGCTTGGGGGAGTTTAAAGAGCTGTACAGACAAAACCAAACCCTGCAGAGATCAAAATCTATTTCCCCAGAAAAGCCAAAGGGGGAAAAAAAACTAAAAAGGAGAAGCAGTTTTCAACACAACTGTCTCCTTCCTGCCGTAACAATGTCTTTCACATTGCCAGCAAAATAAATCCAAATTGTCACCGCAAACACACACCTCTCAGGAAGTCTGCCCTCACTACTGGCTTCAAACAGTTGCCAGATTTTTGCAGTGCTGAATTAATTCCTGCCTTGAATCTCAGGGTTACAGTGAGCCACTGCCTGGTCTGTGGAATGAGGCCGGCAGGGCTTGGGCTGTGCTCTGTCCTATCCCACCCCTCCCTGGGGATGTGAGGAGACCCAGGCAGTGCATGCAGTCCTTCCTCTGCAGCCGGTCATCTTTCCCACACTTGCTCACAGCATTCAGAAGAAGAAAAGTGTTGGTAGGACATCTTCCACAATAATAAGTACGAATTGCAGCGCTTCTGTGAATTTAGGTCAATGCATCACCCTTAGAGCGCATTATAAATTCATCAGAATCACAGCCTGAAGAAATCTTTTTTTTCTTTGGCATCAGCTGCTTTTAGCTATGCCACAGATTTTTAGCAGAATTTAAACTCCAGATTAAGTATTGATTGAGTTTAAATAAATTATAATATGTTGTAACCAGAAAGCTGGGCCGTGACTGGAGCAGACAGTTTCCCTTTTTACCTCCCTTCCCACTTCAAATATTAACGCGTTTATTCACTGCATTGTGACTGCAATGAACAACCAATTCAGAAAGGTATAATACTGAAGTAAATACTAATTTAAGCAGCACCTTCAGCTGCTTGACATACAAATGAAGTTATAAGCCACGTATGAAATAAATACATTAGCTTAAAGGATTATGTGAACAGAAATAATTCCTAAAGAACTAGCTATGAGGGAAAAGTAAACCACAAACTGCACCTTTTGTTAACATTTGATTCAATTTCTGATACACTGTTCCTTTTTTTAAGGTACAAAAATATCACCATAATGATATCTACCAACAAACTGTAACAGAATGATACACTTTTGTATCACGTTCAGTCGCATCAGCTGCTTGTGCATTCGGCACGTTATTTCTAGACCACTAACAGATGAGCGTGTCCTTCTAAACTATATTTAATAGGAACAGAAAACTCTCAAGAGCAGGTATTCAAAATGTAACCAAGATATCATTACCAAAGCTGGCTGAAGAATGAAACAGGCCCAAACTTTACGGACAAGAAAACAACAACTTGTGCTGCACTGCTAAAAGAGGACAAGAGGACACATAAGGACATATAGTTTTGTGTTTGACCTATTTTGGTTGATTTAATTTTCAGATTCTGTAAGCCAAGCTCCAGTGAGTTCCTGAGGAAAAAATTCTAACTGGCATTTTAGTGTGAGTCAAACCTCACACAAAAAGTGCTTTGTGCATCAAGATAACATTAGGAGCTGTCTAGCTGCACGTACCAAAGGGCCAGTACGGACAAAGCAAAACAGAGCTGTAATGGACTTCTAATAGCAATAATACTTTGCACTTCTGAAGTTTGTTCCAGACAGAGATCTCTGAGTGCTCTGCAGGGCATAACAAGCCTATTAGTTGGAAACTCCAGCAGAAAATGATTATTGCAGTTTTACTGATGAAGAAACTGATGCACAGAGAAGTTAA